ATGCAAATGTGCATGAAGTTGTGTGCACATAATGGGTATTGCTACCACACACACACAAAGTCAATGCATCCCCACAGATGAGATAAGTTAAGGGGATATGATCATATCCCTAAGAGCATATGATGAAGCAAGTGAAATTACCATCTCCTTCATAATATTCCCTAGGAGTCAGTCATATTGTTGACAATGGCAGAAACCTTTGATGGATCAAAACAGTAAAATGTGTGGGGTAGTATAAGTATTCTCCACAGCAGTGGCTGAAATACAAAAACAGACTGACTGCTTAACCCCAGATCATTCTCAGCAGTTTGTCACTAAAGAAGCTGATGTTGTCTTCAAGCCCTACTATCCCTGGACTGATGATGCAATTCATTTTTTTGAACAAGATGACAGGTTTTTCAAACCCTGCAGCCTATTTTGTTTTGAATTCCTCCAAATTGGGACATTTTCCCTCCACAGAATTATTCAATATTAAAAAAAACCCAAACAGTTCTTCTACCTGTTAGGTTAGGCATGTTTAGCCTTTTCAAGATCACATTTTGCTAACTGCATCTTTTGATACCTCTGCCAATTGATACAATTTAATTTAAAATTCCTCTGTCCAGGAGGGATGGAAAAGAAGAAGCATTTTTCTATTCTAGGTTTTTGTGCTTTTTAAAGGTCTCATTCTGTTGCCCTTGCTCATGATGAGCAAGTAGCCTTCTCCAGAACGGGTCCCCTGGTACTTTTGTGGCCTATACCACGTTAAAGCAGCACAATTCACACCGGTGGATCAATTCTAAATTGCATCTGATGATCTGGTTCCCTGTATTTTTAGTTCACTGACATTTTGCTCTCCTCACTTTCTTCCCTCCTGTTTCTGTCTTGGCCAATACGTGAACAGGATAATATCTGAGCCTAAGCTGAATTTGTAAGCCCGCAACTTTTGAGTGAGTTTGAAAGTACAATGAACAGGTCACCAGTTCCTAGTCTGTATATATTTTTGACTTGCAAGGAAACAGTGTATTACTGATACCAGTGAATGCAGTGTGTCCTTTAAATGCAAAGAAACCAGAAGAACAATATTAATAGGCAACGTTAAAAAGGAAGAACCATAATCCTGCCTATGTGTATATGCTGCCCTCCTTATGAGAAATATCCCCACTGCAAGCATAAGGTAAACCCCTCATTTTGTACATGTGGAAGATCAGCCTTCAGTGTTATGAACGAGCACTTGCAAACTCAAAGCAGCTCCCACACTCTCTTTTCTTTGGGATCTTCTTAAAATTGATGTAAAGAACTGGATTTAGGCTTAAGGGTTTTGGAGGGATACATGTGGGTGGTGCTGTACAATCAATAAAATGACTTACCAGTTTAGTAGCAAAATGCCAGGTTACAAGTAGAAGAACAATTACCAGCGGCATAGTGGTGAAGGTGATGGTTTTATTTCACATCTAACCTTAAACAGCACCATACCTAAAACCCTGTCTTTCGAGCACTACTGAATCCAATAGAAAGGCTATGCAGGTCCCCTGTGTGTCCGGGTGAGACGTTTGCCCTGCTAACCTGCAAATCTCTCGCTGCTTCTGACATTATTATTGGAATGCCCAGTTTGCCCCAAAGCCCAGTGGTGTCGCCAAAAGCCTTTCCAGTGCCTTCTCTGGGCTTTGGATCTGGCCAAGTAGGGGATGGATGCCCTAGACAGAAGCATGTCTTTCCAGCAGCTTTGATTCCTTGATCCTGTCTCCCTGGAAAAAAAATACTGAGAAAGGAAAACTTGAGAAAACAGCCTAGTCCTTGAAGGGTGCTAGCAACTCACAATAAAGCAGTGCAGCAGCACTTGCGCAATGTGAGCCAGGGGTAATAATCTGTCTAGTCCCTGTGATCCTAGTAGTTACACTTGTCCTAGCACGCATGCTCTTCTGTTTTGTTAGAAAAAATAGCTGTGAGAGAAGAATAGTAGTAGCTAGTTCAGGCTTTGTGGCTTGCTAAGCCTTGCTGTTAAGCCCTGCAAGAGTGAAGGGGATTGGGGTGATGGGAAACTTCATTCCCCCAGGACCTGACTGGAGTCTTACCAGATCTTTCCCTGGACCACTGAACTGGTGGCAGGCACAGTTCTCATTCCTAAACAGAGCTAACTCTGCAGCCTGGCTGCAAAGCGACTAGGGTGCGGCTCAGGAGCAGTCTGGAAAAGGTTTGAATTGTGTAAACAGCAGGAAGGGAGGGAGGAGAACTGCTTAATGAAAGGTGGGGGGAGCTTTAGTGACAGGAAAAATTACAGTGAGACACACTAGGCAATAAATACTCCTAAGAAAATGGCAGGAGCCACAATACATGGTGTTTTTAAAAGCACTAAAAGATTTGCAAGAGGGAACATCCAGGCACTGACCCTCAGTAGGCAGAGGGCTGACCTAGCATTCCTGTCTGCCTCTCACAACTGTGACTATTATTCCAGCTATGGGTGGGCGAAGCCTGCCCAGCAAAGGCCCCCGGCTCCATATTCCAATGCACAGGGAACTGTTGGTGCTGCTGCATGATATATGATGAAACACAAGATTTTGATTTAAACAATGGCAAAACCTAAGCTCCAGCACTGTCAGCAGCACCGGGTTAATAGGAAATCTCTACGCCAGCTGAACCAAAACAGTACAAGCCAGCATCCACAGAGGAGAGGAAGGGGACTGGAGAAAACACCTGCCAAATGAAACAAAAGAAGGGGCCAGGTTGTCACCACACAGCAGTAAATCCTGCCTGAAAGAAAAAGTGATACAAGTCTCAGGCCAGTGGCATGGAGGGAACTGCCCCCAGTGTATCAAGAGTTCAAGGGCTGTCATGATGCATATCTTCTTAGGTTATTTGCCTGATGACTGTATTTATTGTTCCTTGTTTCTATTTGCTCTGAATTGCTTGGGCTACATCACCTGTCCTGTGGTATCTAGGATCATCCTGATTGCCTGGGGTGGCTCCATGCTCGTGCCCCTTGAAATAAGCAGTGCTAAAAAGGGAGCCAGAATAAAGATATATCATTATGATAAGGTAACACTGTGAGGGCTATGGCATCAGGACATGCAGCTTTGCCTTAATAGAGAAACTCCTAGTCGAAGGCAGCTGCACTGCCCTCACAGGGACCTCTTTGTAGCAGCCAGCATACAACTACAAGCACAGAGCGCAGGATGTAGAGGAAAGCATTTGTAGGAGCACCAGAAAGTCAGTCTGTGTGTACATGGCTGAAATGCTAGCCGGCATTGCAATGTCTCTATAAATAGTTCTCTTAATAAAGGACCAGTTTAATTTTAGAAACATGGAGTCTTCTGATATAGTACCCAACACTGTGTATGAAACATTATTCATGTATTTGTGTGTATGAAATATTATTCATGTATTTGGGCTGGATAAATACATGTTTGTGGGTCACTTGCACAACATATATACAAAAAGGCAGTAAAGACCTGTTAGATCACCTAGTCCTACAGTTGCACTGAGGACAGAGAGTTCCCAGTGCAGTACCTAACTGAATGGCCACTCAGCATCATTGTTGCTAGTTACGGTTGAATACAGGGTCCTGTCAGATAAAATGAGAAGGAAAGAGACCCCCCTGGGAACTAGTTCAGGCCCACATTTCCTATCTTCTACTTTACCCTCATTCTTCTGTCACTGCTCTTCAGTGATCACTGGTACACCCTTGTTGTCTAGTCTTGGGCTTGCCCACATGACTAATAAAGCTCAGATCTGGTCAACAGAGGCCCCTGCCACATTTATATCTGTGAAATTTTGCTAGCATGGTGGTAGGAACCAGAAATTCCTGACCTTAGGAAAGATTTGGCCCTAGAGTCAGGTTTGAAGTTTCTCATGTCAGTCCGCTGGTAACAAGACGACTGGGTGGTTGTTCAATTTACTCTGTGTCCTCTCCCTGTGTCACCTTGTTGATACTGAGGGATGGTCTGGCATGCTAGCACAATCAAAGCTGTCAGAGTCATGTGAGTGAGGTGAGCACTATGCCTGGAATTAGCTGAGGAAGTCTTACACGTTGTTTGTAAATCAGGTTACTTTTTTTGAATAGCCCTCTATAACTCGCTTATAAAAAGATGGAAACAAAATAAGCAACAAGTAAATATTGGAAAGCTTGTTGAATCCCTTACCGTAACCCCAGCCCTCACCATAACCTACTTCCTCCGATGGTTTTCTTCACTTTACTTTGGAATTATTTTAGCACAAAACCTTGTTCATCAGCAAGAGCTCAGAGCAGTCTCAGGAAAGGGTGGATGTGCCTGGCACTCAGGCCTGCAGTAGGCCTGAACTCCAGCTATATTATACCTTATACCTTTGGGGTTATTTATTGAGAAAACTATTTGTTCTGTGGCTGTTGCACAGAACTGCTTGTTCTTGAAAAGTAAGTGAAGCACCAGCTGCCAGTAGTGAGGAGTATGGGGGTGGGGAAATCACTCTGTGTTGGTGACAGAAATAGTGTGGAAACAGATATCACTAGCGGAGGCTGATGAAGGGCTCCTAGTTAGTGTCAAGCTACTAATACACAAAACATTTCTGATAAGGCCATACAGAGATGCATTGGACCACCTGAAACCTCAGGGTTGGATTTTATATTTCATCTAGGCAAGAGCCACATACCCTGGATACCACATGCTGCACTTGGCGCAGTGCTGGTTCTCAGCAAATAAACAGTCAAGGGCCAGGAAGACATTAATATTGTGTTGTGAGACACTGTGGTAAAGGTACCTTGGTGAGAGATAGTTAGACAGATAGATAGATGGGCAGACAGATAGGAGTGCCCAGAGCTGTGAACTGACAGGGGTTGTATAAAGCCACAGCTGGGCCATCGCCTCAGGAGCCAGCTGTTTCTGCATCCCATAGTATCTGGCATTCCCCGCTCCCTGGGCTTTAGGTTATACCTACAGCCACAGCCTTTCTCCTTGCCTCCCTATCAGGTTTGGTTGGCTTTCCAGGCAGGAAGCAACCTGCTTTCATCAGCAGTCTCCCCAGCTGGCCGGCTGTCAGAGCATTCATTGCTTTGACTGTGTTTGCCTGCGCAGGGAGAGCACAGCCTGACTTCTGTGCTGACTCCATTGGACTGTCTCTCGCTGCTGCAGTCATTCAGGGGGAGAATGACAGTGACCGAGAAGAGCTGCGCCTGGCTCACGAGCACACATGCAGCCGAGTGGGCTGGTCCCTCCTGCCCGGGCTGGCTGTGCCAATGCAGCTGAGACACAGTAGTTTATCATTAACTCCCACAGAGGCAGCAGGAGACGCAACAGCAACAGCAGCACCCAGAGAAGTTCCCAGAGCAAAATCCCTGATTAATCAGCAGGTAAGAATAAAGAGACAAGCAGAACCCGACCTGGCAACTGCTTTGCTACACCTGGAGCTGTGTCAGAGATGTGGTCAGGCCTGGGAGTGTGTCAGGAGCATGCTAGAGGGGCCAGTCTTTAATTAGGAGCTGCTGTCTCCTGCACAGGAAGCTTATGCGTCCAGCCCAGAGTCTGTGTGTGCGCAGGCCAGCCTCTTGAGGGAAAAGATAAGGTATTTCTGAGAGCGGGAGAAATGCAGGCACCTGATGACTCTGGGGTGGAGAGGAGAGAGGGCGTCTTAAGTATAGAGCCAACCCATCTGTGCTCCCACAGCTGCGTCACACCAGGCATGCTAATAATGTTTTCTGCATCTAGGGGAGCTTTCATGTGATCAGCTTACGCACTGCACAGAGGTGGGTCAGGATTGTGTTATCCCCGTCTTATGTGGAGGGAAATGGAGGCACAGAAGGGCATTGTGCCCTCCCCAAAGGACAGGGGCAGAGCTGAGAATCAAAATTTCATCTCCCTGTTCTAGCTGCTAGGCATGCTGCCTGCCTGTAGTGTAGGAGCTTGTCATGTGGTTGCTATAAATATGATTTATGATATATTGAACACTGGCAATGAACTGAGGAGGGACATCCTGACAGTGACAAGGACTAGACTGTGGGATCTCCATACTGAAGGACTAGGTGTAGTCTCCATCACTTGGACTTTCGAAGGGGAACTAGACAAAGTAGTGAAGGGGTGTCATTTGGGCAATCCTTTTCTGTGGGGGGAAGGACTGGATGAAGATCCCATCAATCCACCATGTTGGATGCTTTCTAGCCACAGAACCAGGCACAGGCAGAACGTTTCAGCCTTGTCTGATGTGCTGGGTGATGGTGTTACCAGCCTTAGGTGAGGCAGGAATTTCAGAGCAGATGTTGGGAGGTGCCTGAAAGAAGCATGATTTACGGATGGGTTTGAAGCAGCCTACTCTGGCAGCTACATGCTTGCAGAGCAGTTGAGTCCCATGGGTTAAGTACAGACAGTCAAAAAGCCTGAGGCTGAATCGGTTCAGTCTTCACAGTTGTCTAAACTGTATCGATTGAACCAAAAATCAAATAAACAGACATTCACTTTTGATTCTGAAAATGCTGCCACATGCCTGCAGTGGCCCAGGCCAAAAGGCGTGGGGTGCTAGAGCATGCCTCCCTGCTCTCCTGGAGCAGACAGCTTGGGCCAAAACTAGCCCGCCCACCCTGTGGGTTGGGGGGAACGACAAAGTACCCTGGGATGCTGGAGGACTGAGAGTTAACCTGAATCTGGAAGAGATCTGTGACAGAAGTTCAATAAACTGATTTAAATTAAATCAGTTAAGGCTGACACTACATCCATTTGGATTTATCTTAAACTGGTTTGGGTCATTTTGAAAGCAGTTTATGTGCACTGAATGTATGTTGTGTTACAGATTTGAACCAGTCTCTGATCACTTATACTGGTGTACGTGTAATATCTGTCCCTAGCTGTGGAGCTGGAATAGCAGCTGCTTCTCTGGGTGACAATTCTGTCTGCTGGAACAGTGCAAGGGGTGGGGAGGGAGGTACCAGCAGCATTAAGTCACTCCACGGGCCCTGTGGTATGATGTGATACAAGGAAAGTTGTGGGGAACCAGGTGATCTGGAGATGAGGAAATTAAGGGGGCATTTTATAACAGTCTTCAAGTAAAAAAAAAGGTTGTTACAAAGAGGATGACAATCACCTGTTCCCCTGTTGCAGCAACAGCCCTGATGTAGTGGGGAACTGGCAAAGGAAGGGATATCAAATGCTGGTTAGACAGATGAATTAAAAAAATCTTCTACAGTCGCATCCAAATGGAGCACAAATAAGAACCCCCAGCAAAACAGAAATTGCACCTTTAAAAATAGGAGGGGTGACTGAGAGTACTGAGGACTTACTGTTCTTCTAGTTTAATTTTTCTTCTTAATCTTTCCCAAACACAGGCTGTTATCAGGGCTGCATTTCTTTTTCAAGCAGCTGGGTAGACTTGAAGTGGCAGTAAGCTGAATTATTCAGCTCTGGAGCCTCTTTGAGTTAGGTGCATTGAAAACACCCCTGAGGAGCGCATTGCATCACAGCAGTAACAATTTCAGTTTCCACAGCACCTCTGCTATCCTGCCCAGATATCTCTGCCCGGCCCTCATTCTTCCCCTGTTCCTGTTCTGGAGGAGGATCACCTGGCAGGTGCCCCTCCCCTTTGGCTCCCATGCCTTGTTGGTTGTTTGAAAGCTCTTTAGGAGTCTGGGCTAGGACAAGCTGTTCTGTGCAGTAGGGCTCCTTGCTTATCCTATTCAAGGTTCCCACCCAGTGGAGAATTAGAGTGTTTTGTCTTTGCCAGGCTGATTGCTGTTTCTTCCTCCTCAGCTTCCAAATGAGCTAAGCACAGGAAGGAAATTGCATGAGCTAACTTTATTTATTTTTGTTCTCTGCAGGCAGGGAGGAAACCAAGCAGGTACATCCATATAAAAGGTATGTACCTTGCTAATGACAATACTACTCTTTCTAGTTTCTGTAACAAACCAACCTGATACCCCATGCCACAGCATGGCCTGAACCAAAGGTCCTTGCAGTCAGTGGAAAGAATGCTAATAAGCTTGGATAAGGCTGTGGAGCAGCAGGCAGGATTCCAGCTGATTAAAGTGGAATTAGAAGCAGTGCTAATAACAACCCTGATCCAAAAGAAATGTACACAAAGGCAGCAAGGTGGAAGAGCAGCCCAATCACCTGTGTCACTGATGGGAGCCATCCTAGATTCCTGGGCCCAGTTTTGAAAGCAGCTTTAGCACTTGCTTGCAAACAAATACCCTAATTCAGTGGAGGCCAACATTTTTGGCTGGTGAGCCACAAATGTTAGTCCTGCCTATTTCCCCAAATCTCTGATCCCTTTCCCGTGCCCAAGCTGCTGCTCTGCTTTCTGCTCCCAGCCCTGTGCTCTCTGCCTGATCTGCTACTCTGCATTATGCTTCCTTTCCTATGCTCCCTGCCCTATGTATGGCTTTGCTTCCTGATTCCTGCCCTCATCTGCCCCTGTGCTGCCTGTCCCCTTCTTGATCTACTGTGTGCCACGCTCAGAGGCTGCCTGTGCCACTGGTGGCACTTGTGCAACATGTTGGCCACCCCGAGCTAATTTTTGCATAGACATCTACTGCTGTTGCTCTTGCAGGTTAGATCATTGTGCTTGTGCATACAGCAAATGAGAATACAGCATGTGTGTGCATTTACCATCTTTATGCAAGCAGACATCATAACTGTGTGCTTAGTTGAGGCAAGCCCTGGCTTGCACAGCTTGTATGCCTAGCATAACTGAAAACCTGGCCCTGGAGATCAATAAAATTCATATTTTAGGACTGCAACTGTTTCCAAGCCCTTTTACATGCCTCCCTTCTATGCTCATTTGCTGCAACTAGCAATGTTTTTTTTTTTTTTCTCCTTATTCTTCTCCCAGCTTTGCCAAGAATCCTGAAAAGATAAATCTTTTATACATCATATTGGAATGTGGAGTATCATGTTATCACCCGAAGAATGACGCAAGCATTATCTCTACACTAGACTGAGACTGCACTGGACTGACACCAAAACTGGACTGTTGGACTTCTGGTTACTTCCAGTCTCGGCTAGATGCAGAGTGGTCCCACTGAATCAAAGAGCCTTCCCTCAGTGAAGTCTTGCCTAAACCTGCTGAGATGACATTTGGAGAGCTGCTCTAACCCTGCCCCCCTCCATCTCCCTTAGAGCCTGCTGCTGACATGGCAAGTTCTGGCAGTGATGAGCCTCCAGCTACAGAGCCGGAGATACCAGGGGCTGAATGCTCCATCTATGAAGAGGTGATATGGCTTGATAAAACAGAGCAGAACCAAAGACTGGCAGTGGAAGAACTGATCAAGACAGAGGCCAGCTATGTCCACAACATCCAGCTGTGTGCATCGGATATACGAGCCCACCTCCAGCAAAAGCAGGTGAGACAACAGAGAGGCCAGATAATGATCAGGAAATGTTCTGCTGGTGTCAAAGTGAAGTGATGTCTGCCAGTCACCACAGTCTGTTTCACTAGTTCCATGAAATCATGGAGATGCTAAATGACTAGGGCACAGATCTATTGCATAACACAAGGGTTGTCAATCGGGGGTATGTGTACCCCCAGGGGTAGTTAAAAAGGTTGTAGGGGGTACACATGGGTAGGCAGGGACAAACTGGCACAAGGTGGCAGCATCTCCCCTGGGGAGGGGGGAGGGACATGCAGGGCACCACTGGCACCATGCTCCTTCCCTCCCCCCACCCCAGCTTGCTTTCCTGATTGGCCGCTACAGGCAGAGGAAGAAAAAAATTTGAGGTGGAGGGGGGGTACTGAGTGCATGTGTCCTCCCAGCAGGTAAGTCTGCAGGGAGAGGGGAAAGGAGGGCTGGCGCAGGCAGTCAGGGCAGTGTGAGGTAGGCCAGAGTGCGGGAAGGAGTTGTGGCTTGTCCAGGGAGTGGGGGTGGCTCCGACTACTGCACATGCCCCGGGAGGGCATGGGAGGCATGTGCTGCTAGATCTGCGCAGGACAGGGCAGGCTGCCGTTGTGGGCTGGGGCTGGGGCAGTGACAGACTCTTTCCAGTGGGGGCTGGGCTGCGCTGTGCTCGGGGCGAGTGGCAGCGGCACTAGGGGGCAGGGTTGGGGGCCTGTGGTGAATTCTGGGGTGGCTGCAGCCCCCCACTCCCAGCACCACCACCACCTGCCCTGAGCATAGCTCAGTCCAGGCCACCATTGCTGGGAAGAGCCCAGTGCCACCCTGGTCCCAGCTGACAGCAACAGCCTGCCCTGCCCTGTGCAGATCC